TATATTAAAAGAGCGCTAACATAACCGATTAAAGATCAATCGTACAGATCTACTATCGATGTTTACCGTTGACCCTGTCCCCTGCTCTCTGAGCTCGGTTCTTGCTCAAGTATTCCACAAAACGACAACTTCAATTCATGACGTGATCTCAAATGCTCCTCCGTTTCTAAAGCTCGCCAAAGAAACATAGATTCAACGCTAACAAATCATCAAAATTGGTTGTGGCTTTAACGGCTAAGTGCATGTCTGCAGCTTTACTTCGATTTAAAAACTTGTGAAATAAAAACTTGTGAAATAAATTTATACAATTTAGGCCCAACGTGTACCAGCGAGTCAAGCGGCTATACTACTAAAAACACAAAATAGACAAAACATTTTAGCAAACTAAGCCGTTCAGTCATTTATATTGAGTTTCCTTTCGAGAATGACGATTATTTTGACGTTAAAAACCAACAAGGATTGTTTCAAAACATAAAAGAATATAAAAACACTAAAATTTCTCGCTAGAAACACTTAAAAAACGTTTAGGCGTTTAAATCTTGACATTTCCAAGCGTGTGCCTTATTAGTCGTTTTCTGTGCATATACTTGTTAGGGACCGCCCCCCGAGACCAGGAAAAGCTTAAATACGTTAAATTTATCTTCGCTCTCAGGGCTAGCCACTGTAGCTGATTCGTCTATGACGCTAGGCTTGTGGCGATGCATACTCTGTTTCTCACTGAGACGTAACGGTTAGGTGCACATACATCATGGTCTGGGGGCCGTAGTGCATCTCCCCCTTAGACGGCCGTTATGATGTGAGTTATGGGGGGGAGTTCTTTCTATAGCAACCGCCTTGCACCTTTCGTAGTTGTAACTATGCTGAATATTGCAGCCGGTTGTATAACCAGGTTAGATTGTGGCATAGGCTGGATGATCTCTTTTGGGTGTTTTTCCCCAAATTTTTTTTTTGGCACGCTTTCCAAATTTCTGTTTTACATACAAAAAAATACTGTTATTAAACATATTATGGAACGGATATGGTTCGAAAAAAAATTTATATCGACTAAAAACCACCTTAATTAACCCCTGAATACTCTCCCCAGTCTCTGCATGATATAGGAGGCAATGAATTAAACAATAGTACAATACCAGAAATCATTCGTAAACAGCAAACATCTTCATCAACCTTACAGCAGTAAAACAGCGACAAAGACATTCAGACAGTCAACTCTGCGTTCTCGTTAGTGCCTTCAGCCCGAGAAATTTCAATCAAAAGTCTGGATAAATCCCCTGGCTTTCCCTGCGAGTTTTCAAATCATATTCAAGTATCTGACATTGAAAAACAACTCAAGATTTTCCTAATTGGATTTAGCTTATTCATTAATACTGATCCATGAGATAGTTTGAACGAAGACTCCACCATTGTTGGGTATAGGACCAGTGCAGTATGGTAATACAGGTAATATCCAATGATAGACCATAATCTGATGAATCAGCCTGAATTATCTTCTGTAGCTAATTTCATTCCACAACAAGCAACACGGCATGTTCATGGCATTTTAAGAGCACATTCAATGTTATATATTCCCAACTTTGATATATATTCAAATACATAACTTCGAAGTTTGGGACGGCACTTGTAGAGAAAGTGGACAACAAAAACCTAACTGCGACCATTCGAATCCTCGCCACAATGAATCGAACCACGCAGGTAACATAAGCTGAACCCAGACACTTATACAAACATTTTGCATGGACACTTGATGTCTTGCTCAGCACACAAAGCATCACCAAAACTAGTTCTTTGTTTAAAGGCTGCACCTACTCCTTCAAAAAGGTTGGGACAAATACCCAAGGCTACAAGAAACTGGATAACAGTTTTGAGGATTTGTTGATCTTTTACGCTCAGATCCATTTATACGGCAACTCGTGTTTATATTAATTTAAGAAGATATATTAAAAGAGCGCTAACATAACCGATTAAAGATCAATCGTACAGATCTACTATCGATGTTTACCGTTGACCCTGTCCCCCTGCTCTCTGAGCTCGGTTCTTGCTCAAGTATTCCACAAAACGACAACTTCAATTCATGACGTGATCTCAAATGCTCCTCCGTTTCTAAAGCTCGCCAAAGAAACATAGATTCAACGCTAACAAATCATCAAAATTGGTTGTGGCTTTAACGGCTAAGTGCATGTCTGCGGCTTTACTTCGATTTAAAAATTTGTGAAATAAAAACTTGTGAAATAAATTTATACAATTTAGGCCCAACGTGTACCAGCGAGTCATGCGGCTATACTACTAAAAACACAAAATAGACAAAACATTTTAGCAAACTAAGCCGTTCAGTCATTTATATTGAGTTTCCTTTCGAGAATGACGATTATTTTGACGTTAAAAACCAACAAGGATTGTTTCAAAACACTAAAAGAATATAAAAACACTAAAATTTCTCGCTAGAAACAATTAAAAAACGTTTAGGCGTTTAAATCTTGACATTTCCAAGCGTGTGCCTTATTAGTCGTTTTCTGTGCATATACTTGTTAGGGACCGCCCCCCGAGACCAGGAAAAGCTTAAATACGTTAAATTTATCTTCGCTCTCAGGGCTAGCCACTGTAGCTGATTCGTCTATGACGCTAGGCTTGTGGCGATGCATACTCTGTTTCTCACTGAGACGTAACGGTTAGGTGCACATACATCATGGTCTGGGGGCCGTAGTGCATCTCCCCCTTAGACGGCCGTTAAGATGTGAGTTATGGGGGGGAGTTCTTCCTATAGCAACCGCCTTGCACCTTTCGTAGTTGTAACTATGCTGAATATTGCAGCCGGTTGTATAACCAGGTTAGATTGTGGCATAGGCTGGATGATCTCTTTTGGGTGTTTTTCCCCAAATTTTTTTTTTGGCACGCTTTCCAAATTTTTGTTTTACATACAAAAAAATACTGTTATTAAACATAATATGGAACGGATATGGTTCGCAAAAATATTTATATCGACTAAAAACCACCTTAATTAACCCCTGAATGCTCTCCCCAGTCTCGGCATGGCTGAGTCTCTGAATTAAACGTCTAAAGGTTTTTTAAATGTTCAGTAGCGAGAAATTTTAGAGTTTTGATATTCTTTTAGTGTTTTGAAACAATCCTTGTTGGTTTTTAACGTCGAAATAGTCGTCATTCTCGAAAGAAAACTCACTCCGTTTAAAATTGGGAGGAAAACGTTGCTTGAAGTTGACGCATTATTTAAGAGTGCGATTGGCGTAAGGTGATCACAAAACCAATAAAAGTGAATGCGGTTCACACACTGACTTTCCTTGCGAGTTGAGCCGTGTAACTTGCAAAGAAATTACAGAAACATAATTTATTTAAATTGTAAAACGTTCGACAGAAACCATAACGCCGTTCGAATTATAGACCCGTCATGTTGGACTTTGGACTTCCTGTCTTGACCAGTAGTCTTGACTTGTTGGAGTGCTTGACTTTAGTCAATAGCTCCATGCGCAAAAATAGCCGAAGTGAGCAGATTTCGTTGAATAAACACCGGCTGTTCTCTCATAGACGCGGCGTCTGTTAGAAGCATTTGTCTTCATCAAGATCTTAAGTACTGTGTGTCTGTGTAGTAGGCGAACGGGCCTTTTTGTTTTAGGGGAGGTGTGAATTTTGCGAAACCGACACAGATTCTTAGGAAGCGCGACCTTTTCAGGATCAACATAAAATGCATTGTCTTTTGTCTTAGATAATAAGGACGTCGCTAGTTAGCAATATTTCTTTTGCCTACTTGAATCTAAAAACTTTGAAAAGTACTGCAAAGACCTGAAATCCATGCACTATGTTTATATTAATAATAAAAGTTTATATCGTTTCTCTCCAGGAGGAATTAGTTCACTCACCCAAAGTGTACGTAGCTGCGTGCCTATTTTTAAAAGTATTTTTTGGTAAATACTGATTTATTGTATACTACGCAGTGACATCATAAGTTCCAGATTGTGCATGACCACAAAAAAGATCGCTTCAAAAAGATATACTCGCTGGTAAAATGCGTGTCAATGTTGTGTCAAGAATCGAGGAACTAAAGCTCGCAATTGTCTGTGATATCAAAAGGGGAAATTCGGAAAAAAGAATAAGAAACAAACGAACAATATGACTATATTTCCTGTCGAGACACATGGTTTATGAATGAAAAGTATTGTATGCAAAAAAATATGGCCAATATAAAAAGAAAGAAACACCGGCGAACTAAAATTTGTATTCACCAGGGCAAAACCAATTTTAAGTTTTTTTCAAACGAATTGATGGTTATTTAAATGAACATTGCGTAAATATTGGAATTTAATTCGGTAGACATGAATTAGATGTTCAGTTCCAGCATTGACATTAGTAAATAGCAACTTCGAGCCTGATTGTTTGTCAATTAAAAAACCAAATAATTAAAAGTAATTTCATATTTTCCATAACAGTGACCGAGACAGATCTCTGTAGGAAACACGCCAGTGTACTGTATCGCTACTGATATATAATATCCTTTTGTTTATAACGCCAGTAGCTAAAAAACCGCTAATCTCTAATCTCTACCCTGGCAGGACCTCTTTTACCAAAGACCCTCCTGCATGCCCTTGGAATGACTAGAACAGACTGATGTATATCCTAAAAGAAACGACGCATTTAACCTGCATTTGTCAAATATCCAAATTCTTTTTCATTCAGTGAAGATGTATATTTTTCGTCTCTTACAATAGCGTGCATGTGATGTATTTTCTCCGTCTCTTAAAATAGCCTATAAAGCTTTTGTTCCGTTTTTTCAAATAGTCTCTTTGTGGTTTTCGGGCTCTTCTGTGATCTGAACAGTATGACAAAAAACATTTTAATTAAAGTCCATCTCATGCATGTTTCGGCTTTCGTTTTCCGTCAGTTTTCCTAACACTTCATGCAGAGATGAGAATATTATATCAAGCCTTTATACTTTCCACGAGACTTCCTTTTTATATTTGATATTGTTCTAGCTGAGTATTATTTTCACTTCCTTTGCCCGTTAAGAGAGAATAAAACTTGCTGTCCTTGCTAAGGTGGTAGCATTGTCGTTCAGGAGTTAGACAAAACGGTATCGTTCTATCGAAAAGATGAAGCTGATTTTGCCGCTAGCTTTTGTAGCAATGATTGCATTGAATTGTAAGTTTTAAACAAATTTCAATATGTTTACTATTCCAATATTCCTGAAGCTATAAGATGAAATTTCAATCCTGGCGTTGAGCTTGCACGGCACGCGCGGAGAAGTATACTTTATTGATTTTAAATTTTTATTTTACAGTTGCAGAGACATTTGAGGAAGGTAATTGCAATTCGATCAATTTATTCATTCCCGTACTTTATAATTTCACTTATACATTTAAACCTAGGCTATATACCAAAAAACAGTGACATCTGTGTATAAATTTAACCTCACTCATTCACGCATGCGTGTTCAGTAAGAAAGTTTGATATAAATTGCAATTGCAGACAATGAAATGCGGATGTCGGATCCTGGTTGGTCAAGATTGAAAGGTGAGGAAATCAAAATGCTCGTAAATAAGCCGGATAGATTTATATTATAACAATATGTTAAAAAATGGCATGTGCATGTAAAAGGTTTATTTAGGCGTCGACGAAAACAACAGAGGAGACATGGGATGAAAGGAGAGAAAGGATCTCCAGGACCACAAGGACCACAAGGAAGAAAAGGATCTGCGGGACCACCGGGACAAAAAGGTATACTCCTGCAGTCAAATCCGGGTTTAAAATTCTAGCAGAAATAGCTTGACGACTAAATCGGTTTGATTCTTTCGAAGGTGAGCCGGGACAAAGAGGAGAACAAGGTATGAAAGGTGACACGGGAGCAACTGGACCTGAGGGAATCCAAGGGCCTGCAGGATCTCAAGGAGCCCGAGGTGATAAAGGTGAACCTGGTTTACAAGGCAAAACTGGCGTAATGGGACTCCCTGGAAAACCAGGACAAAAAGGAGATGTTGGTGAGCCTGGCTATCCAGGAAAACACGGCGAAAAAGGCGAAAGAGGAGAGAAAGGAGATAGAGGTATATACAAAGTTATAGTAATTCAAGTTTAAGCCCAATGTATGTTCAAAGCGCATTCATTTAGACTCTTTTCTACTAATCGCAACGACCAACTCGGAAGCTCGCTGCGAGGGTTTCCCAAAACGGGTGTTTATACAATTTATAAATTTTATACCTAATACCAGGTGAGATTGGATTGCAAGGTGAACCAGGGAGAGATGGCGAGAAGGGGGAACGCGGATCTGAAGAATCGAATTAAACATCAACTTTTGTCTTTTGATATTATTGAGATTATCAAAAAATGACTCAGATATTACTATCGGAAAAGTCACTCACAACTTAGGTTTGATTTTGTCACAATAAATATCAGCTTTCGATCAACCAGATGCACATCTCAATTGGATGCACCTTTCAAAACACACTCATCCGCACACATGTATTTGGCATATTCTGTACAGCGGTTTCTTCTTGACAACGGTTTGGAAAACTATAGTCTGCATGCAGACGTAAATTCACTGGTAATATACGCTTGTATATTAGTGTAAAATGTAATGACCTGGGTCATTTGATCAGTTGTTGATTTAAATAGTCCATTTTGATGGGCTAAGAATTACAATTTTGTAAACACAATTTCGCACAGCTCATGTTTGGAGAGTAGGACGCGCTAATTCATATATTTTTCGTATACTTTCTTCACGTCTGCGCGCACGCTAGGAAAATATCGATTGTCATCTTCACGTGATGTTCTCTATATATTTCAGGTGTGACTGGACCACCTGGCCCTCCAGGTCGAGCTGACTGCAAGATCGTGAGAAGCCAGAATGCAACATTGATTTGTGATGTTGGTTACGTCATAGTTCGTTGCTGGGGACCTTGTGGGACAGAAAAAATGTACGGGAATTCAAAATGTATATCACCGTGTAAATATTACAAACGACTACTGCAAGAGACTTACGCTGTTTGCTGCAAAGTTTAATCAAAGTTCTTCCATTACGTGCTGTTATGCAACTCACTTTGAACTAGAATAGTCAATATCATTTATTATAGCTATACTGAATAAAATTTGAAAACGAATACATGATGTCATAGCAAAAACTAAAATTTTCCACCAGTATAATTTCATTCAAGTCAATTTTAATTGAGAATTGACACTCCCCTCCTTCTTCTCTTTAAGCTTACAGAATATAATGTGCGTTGATCATTTTGTCATCGATCAACAGTGAAACCAACAGAGGCATGATAATTTAGTGTTCATATTCAAATGCCAAACATTTCTCAATGCTTCAAATATTGCATGGATTCTTTAGGATCCCAAAAATAGCAAAAGCATTCAAGTTCAGATTCTGACTGATATGATATTTTGAACTATCATTTATTATGTAATATTCGACCATGTCCATGGTCGAGTATACTATATTCCTTAAGGTATAAGGTCGAATGTATACCCGCGGAACATTATATTCGACCATAGTCGAATATACCGGAATATGGTATATCGTATACCATATTTCGTTATGTTATAACCGTTGGTAAGGTCCAATATACCGGAATTGTGTAAAGAACTTGGCATTACATTCTCGCAGAATCCAGTAACACTATAGAACCCGGCATTAAATGTAAGTAATAAACATATATGGAACGCTCATATCGAAGGAGTCATCAAAAAAGCCAATAAGAGACTCTGAAATACTTTTTGGTTCATTTAAAGAGGGCTAAGGTACCAACTGCAGATTTGATATTATTTTATACACCGTGTATTCGGTCAATTAGCTATAATTATGCTATACCAGCCTTTTATCACTCCCTTCCGAAATATTTAAAGAATGTCCTTGTACGTTTGGAAAAAAGAACGTTAGCAATTATAAAGCCAGAATTGGATTATGCTTCAGCTTGTGAAAATTTGAATGTAAGACTAACGGAAGAACATCACAACTTTCTTCAAAAATATAGTCAAAGATCCGAAGCATAAACTTCATAATTTGCTCCCACCGTTACATCAATCGCATCATGACCTTAGAAATACCACACTTTCATACTGATCGTGCCAAGAATTCTTTTTATTTAAGATAACAGCTAAAACGTAATTATATTTAATAAATAGTTAGACTAAAATTTAAAATCAGTTGTATAGGTAATTTCAAATCTTGTAAATATTAATTCAGCCTTAGGCTGTAAGGTAATTTTTGTGCTGTGAAATTTTACTGATGCATCAGTCTTGATCCGCCATGCCTTCAGATATATAGCTAGAAGAGTACTATTTCGCCGTAGTCAAGAAGATTTTTTATAGTCATAAGCAGTCTGTGTTGGATAGTCTGTGTTGGATAGTCATGACCACGACAAATTGTCATTTTACTGTTAACTATAAGGAACGTGCAGAAGTATTTGACTATTTTCATAAGACGTGATTGAGCACAGGGCTGCCCCCGCTCGCCCCCGTAAGCAAAGGGCAGGGGGCAGCTGCCCCGTGGTTCCGGCGCCCCTGGAATCATTTGAAATTCTCCTGAAACGTGTGACTTAAAAGTATCCCGTCGTGATTTGAGACGCATATTTGCTTCCTGTGAGCATGAAGACCTAGTCTAATATATAAGGTGTTGTTTTGCCCGTGAAACGTAATTTTCGAATTTATCAGTTAACTGAGATACGTGATCGAGAGGTTCTAGACGACGTCTAGAATTTTGTGTGATTAGTTACCCACTTTTTCTGCGCTTTTATTTTGGGCGGATTATTCTGGGCTTTCCGTAGTGCGAATCCAAAGGGTAACCTTGCACATGCAAGGTTATCTATAGATAATCTTCGCAAGGAAAGGTCATGCAAAGTAATGAAAGTAGCTTTCATTAGTCACTCGAATGACTCGATCGTCATCAACAAAAATCTCTTCCACAAAATGGCCTCGAACCAGATGCTGGAACGATACACGTACCGGCCCGAATTTGTCGCATAGATCCTGGAAAATGCGAAATAGAAATATTTATTCGTGAAATATTCCTGAAAATTCCTGAATCGTAATTACTGTGAGTTTAATATAAACGTGAAAGGTTTTTCAAATCTTTTTACATAAACGCAATATACGCATGCGTTGCCATGCAATAATTATGAATAAATCATTCCTCATTGAAATGAAAATCAAGGCCGAAAATCTGCCTGCCATGCGTCTGTGACGGGCTTGAAGAACAAAGCGCTTCTCCTGCGCGGGTGCCTTATATTTGCCGCGAAATCTTGCAGAACAGACTCTTTATAAACAAGGATATATGAGATTTGTGGGCATATTATATACTTCTGGTCAGTTCCGAATCCGTACATTAATTTGCCGCTTGCATTTCGCATGCCAGATTGGTTTTTGTTGCCAGTTTCTGACTGGCTGAGTCATAACTCACGAGGTATGAGTTAATTAGCAATATACGAAAGATTTCTTTCACTTTGACCTTAGCCCACACCCAGTATAATGTTTTCAACATGTCGTATGCGTGGTTTACATGAATTTAGGCTAGATCCGATTAAGGGCGGGAAAACGAGATTTAGGTCACGACATCATTTAAAGCAGCCAATACAGTATACAGTATACTCACTTTTGTCATAATAGCCCTAATAATATAATGTTAGTTAACTATTATTATTATATTATACTATGATATATTAATATAGTATTAGCTATACCATTAATGTTTTCATGCATGCACTAGCTGCCACTGCATGGGAACATCGCCTGTTTGTAGAAAAATGTTTTAAAATTCAATTACGATGAGTTTACAAATTTCTCAAATATTTGATGTATTCCATGCATTATTTCCATAATATTCTCACATATTTTGAATAGCATTTTTTTAACTTTAAAGGAGTTCATTTATTGGCGTCAATGTACGACGGTGCGAGCAGCGTGTTATTTCCTCTTGCAACGAACACGAATAACAAGCTTTCCGTTGCCAGTTGAGCTATTATTGTATCAATTATACTCTAACGACCGCAAATATTGGGATGAAAATATCTATCATACTTGCATATATGCATTACGTCATTTACATAATATAGAAAGACGCGCACAAAAATCACTCGATCATCATTCAATGATTCCTTTGCCAGTGTTGCGGCATTAGATGCATTTATGTGTGTTTTCTTCGCGGTGAACTTTCGGGGAAAATACTATTCATATTCAGTATAACCGTTTTCCAAAACTTTCTTGCAACTGTATGTAAGATAGTTCATGCATATTTTATTTACGTGTAAGCTTTTCTTGGTTTATGACTCATGTCTATGAATTGTGCATGAATACACAGCATGCATGTGGGAAAGCCAGACAGAAATCGTGCGTGACCAACAGAAATTTGTATCGAAACAAGAGGCATGCATATAGAAACGATTATTTAGTTCCATTCCCCTTTTTATTATTGTATTTTTTATTGGATTACATGCAGTTGTGATGTTGCCATGATATATGTTCTCAATTTCTGTTTTGGAAAAAATCTATTTGAGGATACTCTGACAAAAATGGTTCTTTCGTGCGATAGTCGTCAGGCCAATTTTCATGTCAAAACACTAAATAAAGAACTAAATTAATCAATGTATTTAAATTATGTTTGGAAAATAAAACACTATATGATCGCATGCCAAAATATAGATTATAAACAAATATTCGCTCAGACATTTTCAAAGTTGCATGCATTTCAAAACTGAATAAGTTGAAATAAGTTAATTTGAGAATGCCTGATACAGATAACCAAATTAAATGATCGTTTCATCATGCACACGTTGCAAAAAAGACTATAAAATACCTGTAAGATATAAAATTAAGCGGGTATATTTAATCAGATTATCTTTTAATATATTACGGTTTTATTACCAGCTTAAGAAAGTGAATCACGGCTGCGAATGGACAAACGATCGAATAAAGATTCATGGTCATTGATTTAGCTCTATATCCAATCGCTTATTTCTTCCGTAGGTGTAGTCGATTTATTATGTTCGGTTATATGAACTTTGAAAAAAGGATATTTCAGGAGTTACTACGACGAAGTTGTGTTATTAAATTTTTTTGACAACTATTCAGTCTATTCCGGCCCAATCTTTTAGAATTGAAGTTACATGACAGACGTCATGCATTTGAAATTCTATCTATATTGCAGTATAGAAGCGCAATTTAGCACTATTCAACTTCCAGGATGCTTTCAAAAGTGGAACACTTATATCCCATTGCATCCTCCGGCAGGAAATATACAATTTATTTCGTGACGATAGTTGATGCTAATATTATATCCCTAATAAGTACGATGAGTTGAACGGAATTGAGAACCTAAGAGTTCCCTATGGCTATGCGTTGTTTTGCACGTCTTGATAATGACTGTCCTAGAAGACATGTTATAGGTCAAATTTGATGACAAAGTAGCAACTTTTCACTTATATTTCTGCATGCATATATGCGAAATCACTTTCTTCTACTACATAGCAACATTAGGTTAGCTTGAACAAAACATGCAATATAAATAGATGGAAACCAGGCACTGATTGATGAGAGATAATTATTATCTCGTTCTATATCAAGTATCATTTACTTCATATTTTTAAATATATTATTAGTGTGACATCGACCTTAAGGGCCTTCAATCAGAGGAGTTTGAATGAAAAGTTAAAATGAAACTTTAACCGACCACAGTAGATGAGTCTGCAAGTTTTTTTAGTTCTTTGTTATGACTATACAATGCAACATTTGTATTCCGGAACATTCTCGTGTTTCCTGTATATAGTGTTACCAGAATGCACGACCCAAACCGTGCATTCCGATGTCGCTTGCCGAAGCCGCTCCCTTCAGTGTGTTGAAAGCAGTTTAAATTCTAGCATGTTTAAATTCCTGGTTCATATATAAATGGCTTTAGATTTAAGACTACATTCCTAAAATGATGGTTATTTTATTGTCCCTCATGCAAATGCCATACTGTTTTACACCTACGCACTATAGTATTTAGCTTTTTTACCTCGCCCACTCGAGTCAGTATTCAATAAAATGTAGGCGAGTTTATTTGAACTTTTCTCACAATTTCAAACGTCCTTGCGAACATGCATAAATCTTACATATTAGTCATATTTTACGATAAAGAATAATGTTTCTTCAAAATAATCAGGGATATATTGTTTACACATATGTAGGATATATATAGCTAAATATTCCTATAGAAACAAAACAAACAAATGAGCCAAATGTAAACAATTATACCGAGGTGTGTTGTTTATTTTGTCTTATGTACATCATTGCCATTGGAGCCAGGACATCTGACGGCAAAGAGGTCACGATAATCAAGTTTATGTCTTCTAGAGAATATTTTCCCTTCATTCATAATTGGTTATTTGATCGGTAATCTATATAAGGTTTTTTAACGACACGCTTCCTTTCGCTTTGTTTCAATGAGCGGAAATATAAAAGAGTAAATGAAAGCTATTGTGGAGCCGTGGGAGCCTCTGAGTGGTTATTTATTGTTAGAATTTAATTGTTACAGTGATGCCATGCATATAAAAACAGACTCAGCTGGTGACTCACATATCATCCTGACATAGACAGCTTGCTACGCAACAGAGAGAGAGGTCTCAATCGTCGATAACTAAAATAAAGGTAAGTTAAGTTAATGAATAACAATCCTAATTCATAGTACGCAAAAGTGAGATTCAGTTTTAATAACGGTGATCATGGAATATGAACTCCTAGCAATTATATAGAAATATTCATTGATTTAATTTGATATAATTATTATAATGAAAGGTTTATATGACTTGACTTTGTCCAACTATTATATTGAACAGTCATACGTGATACGAATTAATACTTGTGACGTAATACATATATATATATATAGGTGATAATATACATGCTAGACGATTAATATTTTAGGGAAACCTGTTGAGAATATGTATTTTACTTTTGATCAGAACTAACAGTTTCTTCATTTTATTGTCCATTTCGTCTAATTTAAGTTTCTGTTCAATTCAAAGGTCAGCAGCTGTTTACTTGCGATTGCTATTCGTCCACGCAATGCATGGTACGCGCTCTTGAATGACAGACTAAAAGTGCATGTTCATTGTGACTAAGTATACAGCCTTCATACGATTAAGGATATTTTTGCTTCGAATTTGCATTTTTTGTGCCAACCATGCATTACTGTCTGTATGTAACTGTGTCATAAAAAATGGCCTTCCAACAGTCTTGCTCTCTCTTCCCTCCTAGTCCTCCTCTTGGTAATTCATTTCATCATGCAGCAGGGTTTTTTTGAGGTTAAACATTACAAACTATTTAAAACACAAACAATTTCATTGTTTTTCTATTATTTTTCTGTGCTCAATGTCCTTACGGCTACGACAACGACAACCTCGTTTAATACCTCTGGCTCTGTGGACTCGGAGCGCGAGGGATGGAAAGGGCCGTTTGAATCAGATCGATTGAACGTGATGAGTGAAACAAAAACCTAAATTAGACATAATAAACAATTAAATCAGAAATGATTGTAAGTTGAAATAAAAAAATACAAAGAAACTTTGACGTTTCAAGCTAGCAAAGATCCACCGTCTGGGAGCCGGTTAATAAACGCGAGAAAAAAGGACATTTTTGTAAACGTCCAAACAAAAGGTCTTTGCTAATATGGTTCATGTAAATATACTCAAAATATTTTACTTTTTCTTTTAGAATGAATCACCTAATCAAAATTTTTGTGTTTGTTTTTGTATCCCTGGTGGCTTCTACATACGCAAACAAAGCACTCTGTCAAAACGCCTGCAAAACAGACTTTTATCAATGCTTTCGTGATTGTGACACTCCAAAAACCTGCAACGCATGTATTCAATATAAACTGGATTGTTTTAATATATGCGGCCAAGCAAGCAACGGTTCGAAGCGTAAACGCCGTGATAGTGATAGTGATCCTGCGAAGATAAAAAACATACACCGATTGAAGAATGACGTTATTATACTATACATAGCAATATATTGTAGTTATGATATTTAAATCCTGTATATTTAAAAAGTATTTAATTAAAGCCTTATTTAAACATTTGTACAGAAATTATATATAGGCATGGCAAAAACTTTACAAATGTCACATTGTAAATAACTATATGACTGTAGTAACCATGTCGATGGGCACATGTTATACTTTACTCTTAGGTTTTCAGTTAAGCATAAATTTTATGCGAAAGAAATTATACAATGTATAATTGATTGTTTGTCAATTAAAAAACCAAATAATTAAAAGTAATTTCATATTTTCCATAACAGTGACCGAGACAGATCTCTGTAGGAAACACGCCAGTGTACTGTATCGCTACTGATATATAATATCCTTTTGTTTATAACGCCAGTAGCTAAAAAACCGCTAATCTCTAATCTCTACCCTGGCAGGACCTCTTTTACCAAAGACCCTCCTGCATGCCCTTGGAATGACTAGAACAGACTGATGTATATCCTAAAAGAAACGACGCATTTAACCTGCATTTGTCAAATATCCAAATTCTTTTTCATTCAGTGAAGATGTATATTTTTCGTCTCTTACAATAGCGTGCATGTGATGTATTTTCTCCGTCTCTTAAAATAGCCTATAAAGCTTTTGTTCCGTTTTTTCAAATAGTCTCTTTGTGGTTTTCGGGCTCTTCTGTGATCTGAACAGTATGACAAAAAACATTTTAATTAAAGTCCATCTCATGCATGTTTCGGCTTTCGTTTTCCGTCAGTTTTCCTAACACTTCATGCAGAGATGAGAATATTATATCAAGCCTTTATACTTTCCACGAGACTTCCTTTTTATATTTGATATTGTTCTAGCTGAGTATTATTTTCACTTCCTTTGCCCGTTAAGAGAGAATAAAACTTGCTGTCCTTGCTAAGGTGGTAGCATTGTCGTTCAGGAGTTAGACAAAACGGTATCGTTCTATCGAAAAGATGAAGCTGATTTTGCCGCTAGCTTTTGTAGCAATGATTGCATTGAATTGTAAGTTTTTAAACAAATTTCAATATGTTTACTATTCCAATATTCCTGAAGCTATAAGATGAAATTTCAATCCTGGCGTTGAGCTTGCACGGCACGCGCGGAGAAGTATACTTTATTGATTTTAAATTTTTATTTTACAGTTGCAGAGACATTTGAGGAAGGTAATTGCAATTCGATCAATTTATTCATTCCCGTACTTTATAATTTCACTTATACATTTAAACCTAGGCTATATACCAAAAAACAGTGACATCTGTGTATAAATTTAACCTCACTCATTCACGCATGCGTGTTCAGTAAGAAAGTTTGATATAAATTGCAATTGCAGACAATGAAATGCGGATGTCGGATCCTGGTTGGTCAAGATTGAAAGGTGAGGAAATCAAAATGCTCGTAAATAAGCCGGATAGATTATATTATAACAATATGTTAAAAAATGGCATGTGCATGTAAAAGGTTTATTTAGGCGTCGACGAAAACAACAGAGGAGACATGGGATGAAAGGAGAGAAAGGATCTCCAGGACCACAAGGACCACAAGGAAGAAAAGGATCTGCGGGACCACCGGGACAAAAAGGTATACTCCTGCAGTCAAATCCGGGTTTAAAATTCTAGCAGAAATAGCTTGACGACTAAATCGGTTTGATTCTTTCGAAGGTGAGCCGGGACAAAGAGGAGAACAAGGTATGAAAGGTGACACGGGAGCAACTGGACCTGAGGGAATCCAAGGGCCTGCAGGATCTCAAGGAGCCCGAGGTGATAAAGGTGAACCTGGTTTACAAGGCAAAACTGGCGTAATGGGACTCCCTGGAAAACCAGGACAAAAAGAGTTTGGTGAGCCTGGCTATCCAGGAAAACACGGCGAAAAAGGCGAAAGAGGAGAGAAAGGAGATAGAGGTATATACAAAGTTATAGTAATTCAAGTTTAAGCCCAATGTATGTTCAAAGCGCATTCATTTAGACTCTTTTCTACTAATCGCAACGACCAACTCGGAAGCTCGCTGCGAGGGTTTCCCAAAACGGGTGTTTATACAATTTATAAATTTTATACCTAATACCAGGTGAGATTGGATTGCAAGGTGAACCAGGGAGAGATGGCGAGAAGGGGGAACGCGGATCTGAAGAATCGAATTAAACATCAACTTTTGTCTTTTGATATTATTGAGATTATCAAAAAATGACTCAGATATTACTATCGGAAAAGTCACTCACAACTTAGGTTTGATTTTGTCACAATAAATATCAGCTTTCGATCAACCAGATGCACATCTCAATTGGATGCACCTTTCAAAACACACTCATCCGCACACATGTATTTGGCATATTCTGTACAGCGGTTTCTTCTTGACAACGGTTTGGAAAACTATAGTCTGCATGCAGACGTAAATTCACTGGTAATATACGCTTGTATATTAGTGTAAAATGTAATGACCTGGGTCATTTGATCAGTTGTTGATTTAAATAGTCCATTTTGATGGGCTAAGAATTACAATTTTGTAAACACAATTTCGCACAGCTCATGTTTGGAGAGTAGGACGCGCTAATTCATATATTTTTCGTATACTTTCTTCACGTCTGCGCGCACGCTAGGAAAATATCGATTGTCATCTTCACGTGATGTTCTCTATATATTTCAGGTGTGACTGGACCACCTGGCCCTCCAGGTCGAGCTGACTGCAAGATCGTGAGAAGCCAGAATGCAACATTGATTTGTGATGTTGGTTACGTCATAGTTCGTTGCTGGGGACCTTGTGGACAGAAAAAATGTACGGGAATTCAAAATGTATATCACCGTGTAAATATTACAAACGACTACTGCAAGAGACTTACGCTGTTTGCTGCAAAGTTTAATCAAAGTTCTTCCATTACGTGCTGTTATGCAACTCACTTTGAACTAGAATAGTCAATATCATTTATTATAGCTATACTGAATAAAATTTGAAAACGAATACATGATGTCATAGCAAAAACTAAAATTTTTCCACCAGTATAATTTCATTCAAGTCAATTTTAATTGAGAATTGACACTCCCCTCCTTCTTCTCTTTAAGCTTACAGAATATAATGTGCGTTGATCATTTTGTCATCGATCAACAGTGAAACCAACAGAGGCATGATAATTTAGTGTTCATATTCAAATGCCAAACATTTCTCAATGCTTCAAATATTGCATGGATTCTTTAGGATCCCAAAAATAGCAAAAGCATTCAAGTTCAGATTCTGACTGATATGATATTTTGAACTATCATTTATTATGTAATATTCGACCATGTCCATGGTCGAGTATACTATATTCCTTAAGGTATAAGGTCGAATGTATACCCGCGGAACATTATATTCGACCATAGTCGAATATACCGGAATATGGTATATCGTATACCATATTTCGTTATGTTATAACCGTTGGTAAGGTCCAATATACCGGAATTGTGTAAAGAACTTGGCATTACATTCTCGCAGAATCCAGTAACACTATAGAACCCGGCATTAAATGTAAGTAATAAACATATATGGAACGCTCATATCGAAGGAGTCATCAAAAAAGCCAATAAGAGACTCTGAAATACTTTTTGGTTCATTTAAAGAGGGCTAAGGTACCAACTGCAGATTTGATATTATTTTATACACCGTGTATTCGGTCAATTAGCTATAATTATGCTATACCAGCCTTTTATCACTCCCTTCCGAAATATTTAAAGAATGTCCTTGTACGTTTGGAAAAAAGAACGTTAGCAATTATAAAGCCAGAATTGGATTATGCTTCAGCTTGTGAAAATTTGAATGTAAGACTAACGGAAGAACATCACAACTTTCTTCAAAAATATAGTCAAAGATCCGAAGCATAAACTTCATAATTTGCTCCCACCGTTACATCAATCGCATCATGACCTTAGAAATACCACACTTTCATACTGATCGTGCCAAGAATTCTTTTATATTTAAGATAACAGCTAAAACGTAATTATATTTAATAAATAGTTAGACTAAAATTTAAAATCAGTTGTATAGGTAATTTCAAATCTTGTAAATATTAATTCAGCCTTAGGGCTGTAAGGTAATTTTTTGTGCTTGTGAAATTTTTACTGATGCATCAGTCTTGATCCGCCATGCCTTCAGATATTATAGCTAGAAGAGTACTATTTCGCCGTAGTCAAGAAGATTTTTTAGTCATAAGCAGTCTGTGTTGGATAGTCTGTGTTGGATAGTCATGACCACGACAAATTGTCATTTTACTGTTAACTATAAGGAACGTGCAGAAGTATTTTGACTATTTTCATAAGACGTGATTGAGCACAGGGCTGCCCCCGCTCGCCCCCGTAAGCAAAGGGCAGGGGGCAGCTGCCCCCGTGGTTCCGGCGCCCCTGGAATCATTTGAAATTTCTCCTGAAACGTGTGACTTAAAAGTATCCCGTCGTGATTTGAGACGCATATTTGCTTCCTGTGAGCCATGAAGACCTAGTCTATATATATAAGGTGTTGTTTTGCCCGTGAAACGTAATTTTCGAATTTATCAGTTAATCTGAGATACGTGATCGAGAGGTTCTAGACGACGTCTAGAATTTTGTGTGATTAGTTACCCACTTTTTCTGCGCTTTTATTTTGGGCGGATTATTCTGGGCTTTCCGTAGTGCGAATCCAAAGGGTAACCTTGCACATGCAAGGTTATCTATAGATAATCTTCGCAAGGAAAGGTCATGCAAAGTAATGAAAGTAGCTTTCATTAGTCACTCGAATGACTCGATCGTCATCAACAAAAAATCTCTTCTCCACAAAATGGCCTCGAACCAGATGCCTGGAACGATACACGTACCGGCTGCCCGAATTTGTCGCATAGATCCTGGAAAATGCGAAATAGAAATATTTATTCGTGAAATATTCCTGAAAATATTCCTGAATCGTAATTACTGTGAGTTTAATATAAACGTGAAAGGTTTTTCAAATCTTTTTACATAAACGCAATATACGCATGCGTTGCCATGCAATAATTATGAATAAATCATTCCTCATTGAAATGAAAATCAAGGCCGAAAATCTGCCTGCCATGCGTCTGTGACGGGCTTGAAGAACAAAGCGCTTCTCCTGCGCGGGTGCCTTATATTTGCCGCGAAATCTTGCAGAACAGACTCTTTATAAACAAGGATATATGAGATTTGTGGGCATATTATATACTTCTGGTCAGTTCCGAATCCGTACATTAATTTGCCGCTTGCATTTCGCATGCCAGATTGGTTTTTGTTGCCAGTTTCTGACTGGCTGAGTCATAACTCACGAGGTATGAGTTAATTAGCAATATACGAAAGATTTCTTTCACTTTGACCTTAGCCCACACCCAGTATAATGTTTTCAACATGTCGTATGCGTGGGTTTACATGAATTTAGGCTAGATCCGATTAAGGGCGGGAAAACGAGATTTAGGTCACGACATCATTTAAAGCAGCCAATACAGTATACAGTATACTCACTTTTGTCATAATAGCCCTAATAATATAATGTTAGTTAACTATTATTATTATTTATTATTATTACTATGATATATATTAATATAGTATTAGCTATACCATTAATGTTTTCATGCATGCACTAGCTGCCACTGCATGGGAACATCGCCTGTTTGTAGAAAAATGTTTTAAAATATTCAATTACGATGAGTTTACAAATTTCTCAAATATTTGATGTATTCCATGCATTATTTCCATAATATTCTCACATATTTTGAATAGCATTTTTTTAACTTTAAAAGGAGTTCATTTTATATTGGCGTCAATGTACGACGGTGCGAGCAGCGTGTTATTTCCTCTTGCAACGAACACGAATAACAAGCTTTCCTGTTGCCAGTTGAGCTATTATTGTATCATATTATACTCTAACGACCGCAAATATTGGGATGAAAATATCTATCATACTTGCATATATGCATTACGTCATTTACATAATATAGAAAGACGCGCACAAAAATCACTCGATCATCATTCAATGATTTCCTTTGCCAGTGTTGCGGCATTAGATGCATTTATGTGTGTTTTCTCGCGGTGAACTTTCGGGGAAAATACTATTCATATTTCAGTATATAACCGTTTTCCAAAACTTTCTTGCAACTGTATGTAAGATAGTTCATGCATATTTTATTTACGTGTAAGCTTTTCTTGGTTTATGACTCATGTCTATGAATTGTGCATGAATACACAGCATGCATGTGGGAAAGCCAGACAGAAATCGTGCGTGACCAACAGAAATTTGTATCGAAACAAGAGGCATGCATATAGAAACGATTATTTTAGTTCCATTCCCCTTTTTATTATTGTATTTTTTATTGGATTACATGCAGTTGTGATGTTGCCATGATATATGTTCTCAATTTCTGTTTTGGAAAAAAATCTATTTTGAGGATACTCTGACAAAAATGGTTCTTTTCGTGCGATAGTCGTCAGGCCAATTTTCATGTCAAAACACTAAATAAAGAACTAAATTAATCAATGTATTTAAATTATGTTTGGAAAATAAAACACTATATGATCGCATGCCAAAATATAGATTATAAACAAATATTTCGCTCAGACATTTTCAAAGTTGCATGCATTTCAAAACTGAATAAGTTGAAATAAGTTAATTTGAGAATGCCTGATACAGATATACCAAATTAAATGATCGTTTCATCATGCACACGTTGCAAAAAAGACTATAAAATTATACCTGTAAGATATAAAATTAAGCGGGTATATTTAATCAGATTATCTTTTAATATATTACGGTTTTTATTACCAGCTTAAGAAAGTGAATCACGGCTGCGAATGGACAAACGATCGAATAAAGATTCATGGTCATTGATTTAGCTCTATATCCAATCGCTTATTTCTTCCGTAGGTGTAGTCGATTTTATTATGTTCGGTTATATGAACTTTGAAAAAAGGATATTTCAGGAGTTACTACGACGAAGTTGTGTTATTAAATTTTTTTGACAACTATTCAGTCTATTCCGGCCCAATCTTTTAGAATTGAAGTTACATGACAGACGTCATGCATTTGAAATTCTATCTATATTGCAGTATAGAAGCGCAATTTAGCACTATTCAACTTCCAGGATGCTTTCAAAAGTGGAACACTTATATCCCATTGCATCCTCCGGCAGGAAATATAC